TGAGAAGAAGGTATTTATTTAGAGAGGTTATTAAATTAAAATAAGGTCATTAGGGTGAGCCCTAGCTCAGTACGACTGGTATTCTCATAAAAAGAGAAAATTTGGACAGAATACATTCAGAGGCAAGATGAGGTGAAGACTCAAGAAGAAGACAGCTGTCTACAAACCAGAGAGAACGGGCTAAATTAAATCCTTCCCTCATAGCCTTCAGAAGGATTCAACCCTGCTGACACCTTCAGCCTGGACTTCCAGTCTCTAGAAGTATGAAAACACACATTTCTGTTTCTTAAGCCACTCCAATCATGGCACTTTGTTATGGTGTCCTTAGCAAATTTATACAATTAACAAGGCATTTTTTCTCTTGCTCTTTTCTGTTTTTTTTTTTCTTCTTTCTTTGTTTTTGATAAGGATAGTTTTATTTTCCTTTTTACGTTCTGAAGGCAAGCAGGGTCACCTGATTTTCATTAAATGTACTTTAAGGAGTTAAAGCTGGGACTCCTACAGATTACACTTCTTCAGGCACCACAAATATTTCTCTTGGATGATCAGAGTTAAATATCAAACCAACCAAGGGAGTAAGGAGGATAAAACTGTTTCCTCAGCAGAGAAAGACACTATGTTCAATCAAATGATTGATCCATGCATCTTGTTGACGTATTTATGCTCATGTTTATGTACAACACTAAATTGATCTTTTTAGTGTAAAATTCTGGCTTTAAACATGTTTTCATGTGGTATACACTTGCTATTATATATTTAAGTATAGTCTTAGCTACTTTCATGAAATTTCAATTAAGCAATATCACCAGACATTAAAAAATTTAAAAAATCTATTGTTTACATTTTTGTTTTCTTAAAGATTGGCTTTGCTCTCTTCTGACTTAGGGAAAGAGCAGGGAAAATGGAAGATTTATTTGCCACATGTGTTGAAGTAAGGTGGTCACTTAATTTACAATTTAGACAAATGAAGGCATGTGTTGTTATAAAAAGTTCAAAGATTAGAAAATAGGAGTTCAGAGGCATTTTTAGTTTTCCGATGGCCTGTAGCTAGCAGATGATAGAGTCCACTGAATTTCAAGTCATGCGCTCCTTCCTGTCTTCTCTCAGTGGAAATTAAATGCTACTGCTTCTGTTATGACAGCAAAACCTTAAGCTCCTACACCAACTAAACTTATTTTCCCTTCTTTATTCAGGCAGTCCAGCAAATAAACTGCTTTTTGCCTAGTTAAGAAGCCATTTGCTGAAAGTTTTTGCTTTCTTCCCAAGCAAAGGAAACAAAGTCTAACAAAATAATAGCATCAACATTTTCAATTTGTGGGTAGAAATTTTTCCTTTGCTTCATCAATAGGCAAACATATTTTCCTCATAGATGTCACTGATCTAATTTTGTGTTTGCCTTTATCGGTAACATTGCAAAATCAATATTTATTTCTTCTTTCACAAAGTTCATCCCTTTGGAGAACTTGCTATAGGTCTGCTCTCTCTTTGTTAAGATATAGAGGAGCATTAAAACTGTCTTTGCCTTTGCAAGTCTCATATTCCATGAAAAAAAAAAACAGATATAGAAACCAAAAATGCCAATATAAGGAGACACTTCAAATGGATGCCTCCATCAGCTGCAGTCAAGGATGATCGGGGCACAGTAAAAAGGGACTCATTGGCAGCAGTGAGAAGAAACACGGGACTGCAATTCTGAACACCTGGGTAGAGATTCCAGGGGCTACAACTGGAGGGAAGAGCAAGGAGCACATCGTGAAAGCTGAACATCAAAGGTATGGACATTTACCAGCAATCAGTGGGAAGTCTTGGAAGGATATTAACCTCTGTTGCTTGCTTTAGAGTCATAATTAGCAGCCAAGTAAAATAGCCACCTTTAGACACAATGTCTAAAGGGAAGTCATACTCCTAAAACAAGGTGGAGCAAAGGATGATTTACTAGAGATATAGGAATTTGATGACCATGTTTTCCGAGCAATTTTGCATTTATGTCTGACCACAAACCAGAATTTTATTTTGTTGTTGTTGTTGTTGTCAAGCCAGAGTTTCGCTCTATCCCCCAGGCTGGAGTGTAGTGGCGTAATCTCGGCTCACTGCAACCTCTGCCTCCTGGGTTCAAGCGATTCTTATGCCTCAGCCTCCTGAGGATTACAGCTGAGATTACAGGTGCCCAGGACTATGTCTGACTAATTTTTGTATGTTTGGTAGAGAGGGAGTTTCGACATGTTGGTCAGGCTGGTCTCAAACGCCTGACCTTGGGTGATCCACCCGCCTCGACCTCCCACAGTGTTGGGATTACAGGTGTGAGCCATTGTGCCTGGCCTCAGAATATTTTAGATTGAAATGATTGAAAGAAATCTAGGACAATTTGCTATTCTTCAGTGCTTTTCAGAGATAGCGAATTGGATTGCTGTCTCCTTGTCATTCTGTCCAGCATGGTTTTTTTTTTGTCCTATTTAATTTGAATCTGCATCTATCTACCTTTAAAGTCTGAGTGCTTAATAATTCTGCAATTCTGACATGCATGGTTTTTGATATTATGTGATTTTGTAGGGTTCTTCCTTCCTGGCCTCCATACTCACAGGATATATATTTTCATCATCACATTGCTTGAGAAATGGTGTGCCTTGGGCTTGTCTGTACTGCTGGCTGAACGTTAGAATCACTTGGTAATGGTTAAAAGCCCTGGTGATCAAGTCAGACACATGGCCAATTAAATCAGAATATTTGGAGATGTGACCAAGACATCATTATGTTTGATTTTTTTTAATATCCCAGGTAATCATAATGAGCAGTTAAAACTTAGGACAACTGCTGTGTGATCATCAGTCATGAATCATTTATTTTATTTTAAATTCACACACTGTGTGCTCACTGTTTTCCTGCTACGCACCTGCTAGCAAAGTGTCCTGCAATGATTGGAACAACAGAAGAATACAGAGTCTCTGCTCTATGGGAGATGACATTTTAGATTAAGGCCCAACTCAAATTTATTTGAAAAGGTTAAAGAAAAATCAAAAGATCATAGTAATAAGTTGCCACATATATGTCCACAGGAAATATACTTTATGGAAAGACTGATCATATATTTAGGTTTGCCCAGTGACAGGGATGGCTTATGCCTATTTCTTGGAGCAATTTTTTTTTTTTTTTGAAATGGAGTCTTGGTCTGTCACCCAGGCTGGAGTGCAGTGGTACCATCTCAGCTCACTGCAATCTCTGCCTCCTGGGTTCAAGCGATTATTCCTGAGTAGCTGGGATTACAGAAATCACCATCATGCCCAGCTAATTTTTGTATTTTTGTAGAAATGGGGTTTCACCATGTTGATCAGGTTGATCTTGAACTCCTGACCTCAGGAGGTCCGCCTCCCTCCGCCTTCTAAAGTGCTGGGATTACAGGTGTGAGCCACCATAACTGACCTGGAGAAATTATTAATAGCATTCATTCACTTTCAAGTTTTCTAGTTGGAATGATGAATTACATGCTCACTCTCAATATTAAAAAATAAAACAATAGGAAATCATGGTAGGGAACCATAGAAGAAGCAGGCATTAATGGGAAGTTGTGGAAGAACTGGACATGAGAGAAACAGAAAGAGAAATATGTATGTGAGGAAGTGCTCAGAGCTGGCAGTGGTCAGGCCTGGTACAAAGGCAGCGCGCAGAAGCTCTGGCCAGCATGGAGATCTAAAGAAATGAAACCACCACCAAATTAGAAGGGAGAACACATTAGAAGCCAAAGATATTTCTGAATGAGGTGAGAGGTAAATTTAATGTCAAATACTCAGTCCTTTGAAGCAGTTTTCTTCACAAACAGAAAGTCAAAGGTCAGCTTTCCCCACACCCACTCTATCGGAACATAGAGTCTCCACAATTAACCTCTTACTATTTGCTTTTACTCAATTCCGTTCAAACAGCATTCTGCTGCCTCAGCCTCACAGCTTGTCTTCCTGATCTTCTATTAATTTTCTCATCTCTTTTCCCATCTCCCTTTTCAAGGATATCTTCTATTCTTTCTAAAAATAGTCATTTAAATGGCGTATTTTTAGGAGACAATCCCTAGTTCCCAAACCAGGTTACCCTTGAGAGGACAGGACTGAATACAGCCTGGGAGTTGGCTTGGAGCAGTGTCTATGCAATTTGGGATTCAGAGAGAGTGCCTCTCCATCCTCATTTCCCCTCAGGCCTTCCTAAAGTGGTTTAAAGTTCTGTAACCCTAATTTATGACTAAGTCCCCTTTTCTTTGAAGAGCTTAAGTTACTACTTTGAAAAAAGGTGAGCATTAGAATCACCTTTTATTTTCACAGCAATAAAAATTCATTTTGCACAAACGAAATTGCAGCTGGCTTCTGCTTTGATTTTCTTTCCCCTTCCTGCAATAACTATCTTGTGATGAGGCTGTCACTTTCCTCAGTGCCCACAGCCTACTCTGGATTCCTGTCTTGGTTTGCTCAGCATTGATTAGTCCACCAAGGCTTTTAAAGGATTTTTGTATTACAAGATTGCCATCCCCAAAGTAAAGTGATTTATTGAGAGAGTCGCAGGTCCATCACTGACAATGAAATGACCACATTGGCAATACAGGGTCATCAAGAAGTATCTTGGATAAAGTTGCTATCCAATAGGCTGAAGAAGAGGTAGTGAGAGAGTGAAATGTATATACAGGTGAGACGTTTTCAGAGCTAATACCTCTCCCTTACAGAGTCAAGACAACTGTAGGAAGTTAATTAATTCAACTTATAATTATTAAATACCAATCATGTGCCTCATCTGTTCTAAATCCTAAGTATACAACTATACCTTTGGTCCTCCCCGTTTTCCTGGACTTACTGGTCTTTCTGCCTTATGTTCTGCACAGAAGCCTGTATAGAGTTGTCCAACAAACCATGAAACTAAGAAACTTATTTTCTACTCTGCCACACCACATTTCTCCCCATTGGTCCCGTGATTTGAGGCAGCTGAGTGATGCTGTATCCAGAGCACCAGATCTTTATTATACTTACATGTAGAATCCACTTCTCAGCAGCTTCTTCAGCCCATGAACAGGTGGAGCTGTGTGGTCAGGGACAATTTCCGTGTTGACATGTTCAAAGAAGCTGAATACAATCATCAACTTCAACCTGAAATTTCTTCTATGAGATTTAAGGCAGCTTGAGACCTCCATAACCGGGAAAAACAATAAATAGTTAATGTATCTTTTATCACAAAACATTTTTTCTCAAAAGAGAATTGTTTCTGGAGTTGGCTAGTCAGGAGTCACTAGAAGATAATTTAGCTTATTTCCTCAAAACCAGTGAGTAAATAATTTATCTTCAATATGTACACGTTGCCATATTTAGATGACAGGGTCAGCTCAATCTTTAAACCTGTCTGGAATTATTTTCCTTTTCTTCTCCCTTGCTCCTTCTTTCCCTCCCTCTCATCTTTTTTTCTTTCCTTTCTTCCTTCCTTTTCTTGCAAGCCTCTCATCATCTCTCTGACTTTAGTTTTGTTGTACTTTTAACCAAATCATTCGCTGAACAAATAATAGGTGAGCTAGCAATTATTGTGGGATGCCAATACAGACGCACTTAAAACCTGAGCGTGCATTGCAAATAAAATATTTAGCAAAGCATGTGAAACTAATTGGTTCACTTCCTGGAAATTCTTCCCAACAGTGGGCTGTCCTTGCATTTTGTTGACACAGAGCTGGGCTTAAAGGCCAGTCTTACATTTGAAGTAACAATTGCATCAATAGCAATTTATTTTCTGTTAACACCTGTTAAAATGAACAGCATCACAAAGGTAGAGAGTGTCAAGTGATGCACTCAGTCAGAAATTACAGAAATAATAAAGTGGCAAAGACGTAATCTGTTTATTCAACACGCATTTATTGTGCCTCTATGATTTGATCAGTTGCCTAAGCTTGGGAGATAGAAAGATGTGAGACATCACTCCTGTCTCCACAAGGAGCTCACAGGCGAGACAGGAAGAGAAACACACAATTACAAAAGACATAAGTGATATGAAAGAAAAAGAGGGGTGGGGATGGGGATGTAACCTCATCTAAGGAAACTGGAAAAGCTTTCTGGGGAGAAAAGACCTCAGAGCTCAGACTAGAAAGAAGAACGATGAGGATTGACAGGCGACAAAAGGGTGAAGAGGGGAAAGTGTCCTGGGCAGAGACAGAGGTAAAAGAGACCACAAAGATAGAAGAGGTCATGACATAGTGGGAAGCATTAAGAAGCTCAGCATGTCAGGAACACAGAGTTCAAGGAGCCGAACGGGAGATATGTGGCTAGAGAGGTCAGCAGAGCCAGATCATATAGGCCACTAGAGGCATTTCTAATGGGAGCTTACTAACCACAGAACAACACCTTGGTTGTAAATTCTGACAATTCCAAGGACGGCATCATCAGCATTTATTATAATTAGCAGTGCCCATAGGGCACCTTCCTCAATTGATGGGGGTACAGAAATAGAGGTGAGGGTTGCAGAGGTTAACTATGCAAGAGGAATGCTTTTTACCCAAAACTGTGGGGTTTCATGGCTACAGAATCAAGAGAGAAGCCAGAGAGTGGATCTGATCAGGGAATTATACAATATGGGGTGCTGGATGCAATTAATGTATTTGGGACACACCTGGACAATTCTTGACCCATGGGTTGGTGCCTGTGGCTCACAATTATGTGTTCTCTGCTTCAGAATGACTTGCTAAATGTCAAAAATTGAAGAGTGAAGGAGACCTTTACACCCTTGATGTTACCTAGGCACATCCTAGAACAGATTTCTCAATATTGTTTCACTTGGACCTCTACCCTCTCCATCCATTTTGACTTTGATTTGATTGGCACAGGAACATACAGATCTGTTATTTCCTTATATTCGATATCCTTCTGTGGGTAAACACTATGTTCTTACACAGAAGGACTGAGTGGTACTTCCTTTCTAGAATGTTTCTTCCCAGAATGGAAGAATCAAATCAATAGCTCGAGTCCTTCCAGCCTGAAAAATTGCTAAATTATAAGCAGGGATACCACTAGCTTGAGTTTAAGGTACATTCTATATGTGTGCTTGACATGTCATGACTGGCAACGGGACAGCTCACCAGTTACATACTTATATATGGGCCCAGGTTGCATCACGAGAAAGAACTCATATTTATGCAGAGGGAGTTGGACTTACAAACTAAGTCTCATTCTCAGAGAAGAGGGTTGATTCTGAAGAGAGCATGGTTTTTGCTTGGTAGTTTCCCCTGGTTCAGGTTTCATGGACTCAGATCTGGGTCCTAAAGAGAGAGGTGCTTTTTTTTGTGGGGAGGGGATGGAGGTTCACTCCTGTTGCCCGGGCTGGAGTGAAATGGCGTGATCTTGGCTCACTGCAGCCTCTGCCTCCTGGGTTCAAGTCATTCTCCTGCCTCAGCCTTACAAGTATCTGGGATTAAAGGCATGCACTACCACACCTGGCTAATTGTATTTTTAATAGAGACAGGGTTTCTCCAAGTTGGTTAGGCTGGTCTCGAACTCCCAACCTCAGGTGATCCTCCCACTTTGGCCTCCCAAGAGAGATGTGCTTTAAGCAAAAATAAAAAGATTTTCTTATGTTAAATGGTTTGCAAAACATTGGAGAATAAAGTAAGATCCTACTTGACAATCATGTGGCAAAGTTTAGCACAAATAAAATCTCTATGGCCAGGACTCAGACTGCTTTAAAACATCCAGGATTGCAGGGGCTCCAAGACTGCAGTATGTCACATATTGGCAGCAGGGCCTGTCAGGACAAGCCATGCTCTCTGTGACACGAGCTGCTCAGAGGAGATCATTACAGGGTCTTGGAAGCTATGAGCCTAGCATACAAAATTGTCCTTGGAGAGAGAGGGGGCTCTTAGGCACTTAGGCAACTTCAGGTGGAAGATTTGTTGTGGCATATTGGTTCAAGGGCATGTGAGGCCCGTGATGGGGACTACACTATCTAAATAAATAAAACTTTGAAGGATACTGACAGATATAAATGAATAAAACTTTATCTAGATCTTTGCATGGAAATAAGAGCCAGAAAAACCCTATTGGTTGTCATGCCTGTTACCTTATTCTTAACTCTCTCCTGATACAAACTAAAGAAACACAGTTTGTGCATATCAAATCTGTTGAATCCTAAGAAAATCACCGAAATAAAAAAAAGTAATGTCATGCAAGATTTGAAGGTAGAATTTAGGTTAGAAATATGTTTCTGTTTCTCTAGTTTTTTTTTTTTTTTGAGAAAAAATAACCATGTTTCATAAAGTCGTAAATTTATCTTGTCCGTATATAAACATTTATTCATAACAATACAAAATCTGAGTTAGATATGAAAAGTGCTCTTGGACAAGAGTGTATGATCTTGGTTAGAGAAAATTAGTGGCACTCCAATAACCACTTAGAGAATGACCCTAATTTTTGAAAGAACAAGTATTCCTCTCAAAATATCTAGTACCAAAGACAGAGTAAACTGTTTATTGAAAAGCATAAGTAAGATCGATGCCATACTCAAAAGATGGAAAAACTAATGTATTATTGGCGATTAGGAAGTAATCGGGCTTCAGAATGCTTCCTTTTTTCCTCCTAGTTTTATTCCATTTTTATGATGCATTTAGAATAGGTTAATGGGTTTTTAAAATTTAGATTTAAATTTTTTTGAGGCAGGGTCTCCATTGCCCTGGATGGAGTGGAGTGGCACGATGACAGCTCACTGCAGCCTCAAACTCCTGGACTCAAGTGATTCTCCTGCTTCAGCCTGCTGAGTAGTTGGGACTACAGGCACACATCACCATGCCCACCTTTTTTTGTTGTTGTTTATTTTGTAGAGATAGGATTTCACTATGTTGTCCAGGCTTGTCTCAAACTCCTGCACTCAGGCGATCTGCTAGCCTTGGGATCTCAAAGTGATAGGATTACAGGAGCGAACTATTGGGCTTGGCTTGGCTAATGAGTTTTAAATTCTGATGTCTTCCTTTGTCTGGATACGTGAAGGCAGACAACCATGTGAAGTTATATGGCTTGTTTATTCATTCATTAAGAAAGTACTTATTGAGAGCCTAGTAGGGCCCATGTAGCAGAGCAGTTACAGAGACGTAAAGAAGAGTAAACATGGCCTGAATTTCTTAGTGTTCTAATGTATAGAAGCAGGATAAAAATAATCGTTAAAATTGTAATAGAACACTAACTAAATTTTTTTTTTTTTAGACAGAGTCTCGCTCTGTTGCCAGGCTGGAGTGCAGTGGCACAATCTCGGCTCACTGCTACCTCGGACTCCCTGGTTTTCAAGCTATTCTCCTACCTCAGCCTCCCAAGTAGCTGAGATTACAGGCATGTGCCACCATGCCCAGCTAACTTTTGTGTTAAAGATGGGGTTGTGACATATTGGTCAGGATGGTCTTGATTTCCTGACCTTGTGATCCACTCGCCTCAGCCTCCCAAAGTGCTGAGATTACAGGAGTGAGCCAGTATGCCCGACATAAATTCTTTTATGATAAGCACTTGGATTATTTGTAGGTTTGGTTATTGAGAATATTGCTGGTATGAACATTCCTATACAAACACTACTTGGGTAAAAACAGAATTGCAATAGCTTTCATACAATAGGTGCATTTTTAATCTTTGAAGAAGATAACTAAGACTTTTCCAAATCACTCAGATCATTTTACTTTGCTTTTAATAAGAGTTCAAGTTGCTCTACATTCTTGCCAGAATGTCATATTAATGAGTAATTTTTGCCATTCTAATACTTGTGTGGAGAAATTTCATTTTGATTTTCTTCTCTTAATCTGATAACTTATGAGGTTGGGCATTTTCCTCAAGTGCTTATTGCTCATTCTACATTAGTTTTTGTAAAGTATCTGTGCAAATATGTGTCCGTTGTTAAATCAGCTTGTTTTTCTTATCATTGGGTTGAGGGAGGTTTGTTTTATATAAATATGAATATACACATTTGTTGAGATATATGTATTGCAAAAAAATTATTGTATTCTATGGCTTGCTTTTTTATTTTATTAAGGGCTTTTAAAGATTATTTTATTATGATATATTTCACATACTATACAATTTGCTCATTATATTAGTAAGGCTCCTCTAGAAAAATAGAAGCTCTAGCGTTTTGTGTGTGTGTGTGTGTGTGTGTGTGTGTGTATAATTTTAAGGAATTGACTCACACAGTTGTAGAATCTGGCAAGTCAAAAATCTGCAAGGTAGCCTGGCATTACAAAGATCCATGGAAGAGTTATGGAAGATACTGTTGTTCTAGTCCAAAGACAGTCTGTTGGCAGAATTTCTTCTTCGTCTGGAGAGATCAGCTATTCTCTAAGACCTTCAACTGAATGGTTGAGGTTCATTCACATTAAGGATTAAGGGTAATTCATTTTATTCGAAATGTACTTACTTAACTGCTAATTTTATCTAACAACATCCAGACGTGTTTAACCAAGTCCAACATCCAGACATGTTTAACCATCTGGGCACAATGCCTAACCAAATTGATATACATAATTAATCATCCCATTTAAAAC